GCTTCTAGTAGTAATGAGTATACATGCTAGCTCGTATCTCTTGATTTCCCTTCATCTTCCTATTTACATAGCCAGGCTTCTTTGTTAATGTGCACCAAAAATTTTAAAAACAAACAGAAAAAACCCCACCAAAGCAAAGCAACAGGTTCTCCTTTTTCTCTCTCATCAGAAAGACAAAGAATATTTGGATAAGCAAATAAGCTCCCAATTATTTTTCAACACTAGACTATTTAGAACACGTGAGTAATTGCTGTTGATAATACCAGTAACTGATCTACAGATACTGGCAACATTGTCAACTCCTAAGGCAGAACATGGAACTAAATCCCTTATCCTGTCTTTTGGGAGAGGCAGGAGATTTTGAGTGAGTCTTGACAGCAAAGGGAAATTATTTTTTAAATATATTCTTGGGTTTATATTTTTATGTAGAATATATTTTTCTCATTCGTTGTCTTGATTAGAACTTTGATACTTTTTATATAAGCATTGCACTTCCTCTCTTAAAGATATGATTTTGAAATGCGAAATTACCAAGCTAACAAGACACAGCAGTAAATTCCGAAGTTATTTTTCTATGTTTCCATATGTTCTTGCCACACCTTAACTAAAGTCCAGATATGTAGTGTAATATATTACTTGTACTGTGGACAAAGTGGAAGACAGTCATCAAGATTGAATCTTAAAACATTACACTGTGTTGACACTGAAGTTTTAATTCATCTTCAAGTAAAAAGACTGCCTGCTGATAAGAAGCGTGCAGGGAAGTAAGACACCGAGTCTTTGAATTTCCTGGTGAAACTAGGGGATGTTGGATGTGAATAGGGCCCTTGAGGATTTTGGTCACATTCTGTTGAGTGAGTGTTCCTTCCCCATTCAGATTTTATATAGCAACTGAGGAAAAGACAGACCTGCACGAAAAAGGTAAGGACAAAAGCAAGGGGAAGCCTAGCCTGAATACTGTTAGAGATGTATGACAAATGTATATAAATGAGAAGGGAACAAGGCCTTCTTTTACAGGAAGTATAAGAGATGAAGGAAAAGGCAGAAGGTGGAGGTGACCCTGAGATTTTTTACAAAGGTGGAGCACAGGAGAAAAATGAAGAAAATACTGAAAATACATGCGTACAAAAAAAAGCAAACTGGATCTTGTGATTCTTACTAAATTGGGCCTGAAAGATGGCTGCACAAGTTTTTTGGTTTTGTTTTTTTTTTTTTAATTTTTACGCACCCTCCCATCTCCTGGTCACACTTAAAGTGTACAGTTTTGCATCAGAGTAGTAGTTGAAAGTTGCTTCCAGAGTTGTGCAAGGAGGCATATGAATATCAGTGATGGACATGTGACTGTACTGCTTGAATCTTCCCTGTAGATGCTGCAGTTTTTTGGATTCTCTTACCATTAAATAATCTTTATAGTGGTTTGACTTGAAAATGTGTTAGTGAATCTACAAATATTGTTATAATTTAGACTGGCATTATGCAATTCTTTTGTGTGATTAAAATATTTCTACATAAAGATTCAGTGAACTGAAATGCCTTGTATTTGGTCCAAGTCCAAAGCTTGTGAATTTTGTCCGGTAAGTTTTTATGAGTAGTAAGGAATGCTGAAAAGAGGCTTGTGTTTCACAAGCAGACTTTGAAAGTGCCATGGCAATAACTTGCCTTTTAATTCTGTCAGGATTCCCACATTTCATTTGTATTCTGAATTTTTATTATTGCAGGGTGATTTCTTCCCCACTGAAGGAAATCATCATGGATGTTATATGTCATTACAAATTTTTAATGTCTAACTTGTTTTCCTGGCTGTTGTAGTAGGTTTGAAGACGTAGTTGGTCTGAGACAGCCGCATGTGGCTGAATAACTGCTGGTTGACCACTGTGAGGTCACTTCTAACAAAATTACTGGGGAGGCTTACAGTAGATACCTTAAGGTGCCAGTCACCTGAAACTCCTTTGGAAGTTCTTTACCATACACGTTTTCTTTTAAATACATGGTACCTTTTATACAATCAATACTATTGGTTTTCATTACCTTAAGTGACAATTTGATCAGTGGACATCCAGAAACTGAAACTAGATTTTTTTTTCATGTTCCGTCAAATTACTGTGTTTATAAGGGAAGTCAAAGAAAGTGATTATAGTCCTGTGCCCTGCTCTAGCCTTTTAAAAGCTAGCGAGGTGCTTTCCGAGTTACTGCTCTGAGAAGTTTACATTTAATAGACAGTGATATGTTTTTGATTCTGCTAACAAAGTTGTAAGTGGTAGAAAGAGGATTTGGTGCTGTTACATACTTGTCTTATTGCTATCAGATTTTTATATGATCTGTATAGGAATACATTTAACATTTTTGTGCAGTAAAAGCATGGGAAATAACATTATACAGAGTCAGAATCAAGAGTTTGTGTGATGTGGTAAAGCCATTGCAAATTCCATAGAAATTAATATTTAGCAAGTTTCTACTATTTATATATGATAATGAAGCTGTAAAAATAAATAATTTAAACACCAAATTCCTGATGCTGTCTAAAGTCTACACAAAGTGTGAAAGAAATTAATGGACATCTCAGGAAATTAATTTAGTTCTGAAGTGAGTATTAAATTCAAGTATATTTACTTAATTATCACTAATCATTAATTCCTGAGCTATCCCTCATAAGCTTTCATAGGTATCAAGAGTACAGTCTGTTCCCTTTGCCGTGAGTACAACCCTTGGCTTCGCTACAGAGACGTATGTCACATTGTGGATAGCAGGAAATAGATTAGTACGGTATCCACATTAATTAATACAGTATCCACACAAGGGCTCCTGTGCTGCTGTGTACAATTTAAGGTCATTCTTACAGCTTCAGATTTTTGACGCACCCTAGACTGCCCCAAAATTGTGCTCCTTATTTAATTTGTTAGGTGCTGCAGGCACTGTGGGGACCTTGCAGCAGAGTTTAAGTCCGGTTTGCCATGGAGCATGCAGGGTCTGCCTTATAACTGGTGAATGAGTTTGCACTGTCTGAAATGAGATTTTGTAGAGAGGTATGTTGTCATTGCTGCTGAGCAGCTGCTTCCTATGTGGTCATCTGCTGGTGGCCATTTAAAAATGTCACTTTCTATAGCACTGAGCTTCATTTCTGTAGTACTGAGGCTTCACGGCCAACAGGCCTGCATTTTAGAATGACAGGAACTGCTGTGTGCTAACAATGTTGTATGGTTACTTCCTTTTCTAAGAGTGCTGACTGTCGTTGAACAGCAATATCGGTAGCGGTTTCATTGTGAATGCCATTACTGTCCATGTAGCCATGCTGATACTGCTTCTAAAATGTGTGTTTAGATGTCTGATGTGTCACTTTGTTAGTTTGATTCTGTTCTTTAAAGAAAGTCTGCACTGCAAAAAAATAAATGCTGTGGCAGCATATCATACTAAATCTTAAATTGTATTATTTGAAGATATCTGTTAAACCGGTCATTTTATGTTCTTAACTGTGTTCGGATAAATGGTTATTATCAAACTTTAACGTAATCTGCTTTTATTAGAGTCTTTAGGCAAAGGATACGCTGTTGCGTGCACCCAAGAAGGAGAAGAGAAAAAGCAAGCTTCTGGCTCATCTGGCACTAGAGGAACTAGAAGGAAATCGGTTAACGCTACTCCAAGAAGAAGGTCTGCACGAAACAGCAAAAATGAGACTCTGGGTCAATCTCGGAGCTCACCTCGGTCAAGCAGTTCTGCGTGCGGTGCCTCTGATGGCAATAACCCATCTCTGAATAAGTCTCCTTCGGAATCAGAGAAGGCTCCTCCAAAACGAAAGTCTAAAAGAATAGTTAAACAACAAACACCCGTGGTTAAAAAGAAACTGAGAAGTTCTGCACGTTCTGAAAAAACACCCAGTGATTCTGTGGAAGATGATGACGTTGCTGAGTCTGAAGCAGTTCTAACGTTAGATAAAGACCGGCAGTCAGATAACGAAAGCAATAGTGCAAGCCTTCCACAGAAAAATAATGTGGAAACAGAATCTGTTAATGGGTTGGAAAGGTTTAGTGAACATGCAGAAATTGAGGAAACTATGGGAGAATGTAACAAAGATGAAGATACCTCAGGCAACATGGATGTCATTTTTTCTGTCCAAGAACCTCCAGTACTGTCTTCAGGGTGTGAAAGTCAGGAATCTGAAGTGAAAGGTGATACTGGAAAAAATGTAGATCATAAGAATGAGGACATCTGTGAAAATACTCTTGAACAAATGGAAACAGTAGCTGGTCCCACAGTTGAAGTATGTGACCATGCAACTTTCGAAAAAGTGAATCAGACATTGTGTAGTCCTCAAAATGAATTAACAGAGAACATAGAAACTTTGACAAAAATAGATCAACCCATAGGTAGTCCAGAAAATGAATTGTTGGAATATCCAGAAAATTTGGGAAAAGATCAGCCATTAGAGAGCCCCAGGAGCAAATTGCCTGAGCATCCAGAAGCCATAGAAGTAGATGATTCCAAGGCTGAAGAAGAAGCAGTAGTAGACTGTGCACATACAAATATTCAAAACTTAGAAACTGTTCAAGTTGAAGAACCAGATACATTAATACCCAGTATTTCTATGAACAGTACATCAGAACCGTCCTTAAAAGAGAACACTGTGCCAGAGAGTGAAGAGGGTAGAACTTCAGAGTCACCCCAGGTAAATGCTGAACATAAACATTTTGGTGAAGATAACAATGAGATGATACCGATGGATTGTGACTCATTTTGCAGTGACCAGAATGAACCTCAGATTGAGCAGTTACCACCAGTTGAAAGTACAGAGCAAGAAGTGAACTCCTTACAGTGTGATGCAGGAAACTGTGCATCAGTTTCAGGACTTTCTGATGAAAAAGATGAATCTATTCCTCAAGAAAGAGAGTGCCAATCAGAACTCAAAAAAGATAAAAAGACTCGAACTAGAAGATCTAGGTTTCACTCTCCATCAACAACTTGGTCTCCTTCTAGGAGAGAGGGCAGGACATCTCAATCACCATCCCCTAAAAGGGAGATGACCAGAGGCAGGAGCTCACGATCACCCAAGAAGGAAACTGTGAGGGAGATAAGGAGATCCTTATCTCATTCTCCAAAGAGAGAGACACTCAAAGATGAGAAAAAAACACCATCTCGATCTCCCAAAAGGGAAACTGTCACGGAAAGCAGGAGATCATCTTCTCGATCAAGAACTAAGGATTCATCTCCGAGGCAAAAATCTAGATCTCGAAGCAGTGATAGAGATAGTCAAAGAAGAGATCGTGACAGAGAAAGAAGAAGTAGGAGGTGGTCTAGGTCACGGTCACGATCTAGGTCAAGATCACGATCTAGGACAAGAAATAAAGGTTCTTCGTTCTCTAGAAATGAGAGGGACAGTCATTCACCTCGATGGAAAGAGAGATGGGCAAATGACAGCTGGAGGAGTCCCAGAGGAAATGATCGATATAGAAGAAGTGATCAAGAAAAACCAAATGAAAGTCTTAAAAAAGAGAAGGACAATACAGAAAAGACCAATGATGATCAGTATTCTTCAGACAAGCGGAGGAGTGATTTTCCAGACTGGGTAATGGAAAGGATAAACTCTGTTCCAGAAGTCAGGAACAGAGAGAGAGATCAACCACATTGGGAAGACGGCAGGCATGATAATTCAGGACACTCTTGGAATAAAAACTTCGGTTCAGGTTGGATTCCGAATCGAGGGAGAGGTCAGCGTGGCCGAGGTGGGCGTGGAAGAGGTGGTTTCATGTATGGAGACCAGAGTGAAAATCACTGGCAAAATAGAAAACCTCTCTCAGGGAACTCAAATTGTTCTGGGAATGAAACTCCAAGATTCCCAGAACATCAGCCATACAAGCGTAAGAATGAACAAGATTACTCTTTTGATACGCCTGCTGACAGATCTGGGTGGACGTCGGCGTCCAGCTGGGCTGTGAGAAAGACTTTACCTGCTGATGTGCAGAATTACTATTCAAGAAGAGGACGCAGCTCATCAAGCCCACAGTCTGGATGGGGAATGAGGCAAGAAGAGGAGACACCTGAACAAGGTATTTGTGGGTTTGAAACGTAAAAGCTTAGTCACAGCTGCAGTAGCCTAGTAAAATCCTAGTCACATTGACCTATCTGGAGTTGATTAGTTCTTCAACGTAATTCGAGGTGAACCTGCAGTCCTTTTGCAATATGGAGGTTTATAGGGTGTGGAGTTTGGGGATTTCTTGTTTTCTGATGGTGTTTGGATGGCTTTTTGGTTTTGCTTAAAGTTAGACATAATTCAAGGTCTATGCATTTGAAGAGTGCTGTTTAAGTAAATCCATTTGGTTGAAGAGAACACATATCCACTTCATGGTTACTTTTAGCACCTGCACACTTTTTAAAAAGGGTAATTTTTTTCAGAGATTTGCGTTTGTCTGTGCAGATCCACACCGTAGATTCTAGAGGTGACAAATCATTATCTGATGTTTATGTTGCTTCTAAAGAAGCATTTTCCTCTTTACCTAGGAAGGTTTATAAATACAAACCCAGTACTTTTACTGTACTTCAGCATTAAAATCCCTCTAAGACCTCAATAGTAGTCTTAATATTTTTCAGCATTTTATATCTAAAAGTTAACTGCCCTGATGGAAATAAACTTTTGGTAGAAAGTGAGGTAACTTTGGACGAGATTGATTCTGAATAGCTAAGAAGTCATCCACAGATTATTAATGCTCTGAAGTAAAAGTTGTGAATTGTATTTAAAAACTGTAAAATCCAGTTCTGAGGGCAACCACGCTTGCACTTTCCCGTTGTCTCCTTGTTTTGACTTTGTTTTTATCAATTTTTATCATGTATGCCAGCAGTTTTCTCAGTCTTCTCAGAGACAACTGCATCAGTGGCTTCTTAGTTTTGAGGCAACTTTGTCAACCTGCAGTCTGCTGCAGGCAAAATTTATCAGACCTTTAATGGGAAGTATGGTGTAATTTGCAGCCTTCATTTCACCTAGTTCAGCAACAGTCATACTGGTAGAGTCGCTTTTGGAACATGGGTTCAGCTGAGAACAGTACAGTGATCTCTCAAAACTGGATAAAAATAGACAAGGTTGGCATGATGACATGGTCCTGGGCAAAATGGTCCTGGGCAGCCTGCTTTGGCTGACCCTGCTTGAGCAGGGGGGTTGGACTAGATGGTCTTGACAGGTCCCTTCCGACCTCAGTGATTGTGTTATCCCGTGATCTTTAAAAAAAAGTGATTTGGGGTGAAGCATAAGGGTTTAAATCCAAATCCCTGTGAATTAGGTGACAGGGTTCATCAAGGAGGGGATTCTGAGGGAAAGACATCTGAATTATAACCCATCAACCGTTTCTCAGAACTGATTTCTTGACTTTTGGAAGGTTTGCTGCTTGCATCTAGACTTCAATATTTTGGCTTCTGTTGAAATCTGAGTGAGACAGTAAAGTTATTTTTTATAGAAATACTGACCCGAGAGGTTATTTTTACTTCCAGGCTTTCCCTGTTGTGCCATTACAAGGTTTTTGAACAACTCTGTCTGAATATGAACATCTTTGAAATTGGTTGAGCATTATTTATTATTCAGTGAAAAAAAACCCAGCAGAGTATTTCTGTAGTTACCAGAAACGGCACCGGGTGAGTGTGTGTGAGTCCGGCACAGGGGAGCAGCGCACTGCATGTGCGACAGCGTATGGCAGACTAACCTTCGGCAATTGCAGAAGCTGGAGAAATTACATTGTCTTCCTGCTCTTTGGGGGAGAGTTACTGTTTCACTGTGATGAAATAATTTATTAGCTGTGTCGTGAGAGCAAGTAGAGAAAATAGAAATTCCAAATGCAGGCTTCCATAGGAACGGGAACTTTTTAAAGTCGGAAACTAGCATTTGGCTCCGTGACGTGTCTGGTGATGAGTGCTGTGTAATGGTGGAATGCAAAATCTGTAAAATACTCAGATGATATAAAGCTTTTTGATACTCCATACTTCATGGAGAACTTAGACACCTGGCTCCACTTTTGCTTTATGAAGTATGGATTTTTCACTTCATATACTGTCTGGTTTTTCTTTTGATAGATCCAAACCTCAAAGACCAAGGCAACCAGCAAAGCGATGGTTCTCAGTTACCAATGAACATGATGCAGCAACAAATGAATGTAATGCCACAAGTGAATGCACAGCACCAACCTATGAATATTTTTCCGTATCCAGTGGGTGTCCATCCTCCCATGATGAATATGCAACGAAATCCTTTCAGCATCCCCCCTCCAATGCCCATGCATCTCCCTACCGGAGTGCCTCTCATACAGGTAGCTGCTCCCACAAATTTGTCTCAGGGATTACCTCCGCCTCCACCTCCACCCCCACCATCTCAACAAGTCAGCTACACTGCTTCACAGCAAGATGGAAAACAATTGCAGGTATGCTTTATCAGAAGCCGTGGCGAGAGCAGTATTGCAGTAATATCAGTTAAGGGTTTCTTATATCAAATGCCGTAGTTTTGATAAATTTATACTTGCAGTTTCTTTCTCTCTTGCCTGTCCTCTTCCACCCCACACCGAATTTAACTTGGAAGTATCTATGAGGATATGGGTTGTTCTGGGGCTCTAGCTTTTGAATAATAATACACAACACTATAACTGGGTTTTTGCAGTAGCAAAGTGTTCCAGCTGTTAACGGAGCACTAAAAAATTCCATCAACAGTTGTCCATTACATTTTTCTTCTTAAAAGTGCCCCGTTTCCAAAACTAAGTTTTCCCCTTCAAAACCTGTTTTTTTTTAAGCTTTAGGAAATGCTTGAATCCCCTTTCAGCAGCGTGTAGGAAGTGACCGCAGCCTCTGCTGCGGTTCTTACCCCGTGGGGTGTATCAGCAGAGGAAAGCTGTCAAGTACTGCATGGCACCCATTTGTTCCACACTTCCATTCTCAGCTGTCACTGTCTCAGCAGCTTACACACACACACACGCATTTTCTATTCTGTTTAATCTTTTGTTGATAATTTCCAAGCTTGCTCTGCTATGTTTTTCTTCCGCCTTCTTGCCTGATTCTCCTGGTTTTGCATGCCCTGTTTGAGACCTAACTCCCACTTCATTTTGCCAGTTTGGAAAAGATTCTGCTGTTCTTGCAGCAGGTCGGACCATCTCTTTGTGCCTTTCAAGATACTTCAAAACAACCTTTGTGTATGTGAGCTCCTCCTGTAGCCAGCTGTTTATATTAAGAGCTTTTATACCAGGGAAAGGAATACGAACAACTTCCAGGAGAGTGCGTGGCCCTGTGAGCAGGTCCAGTGCTGCATCTGTGATGTGTAAAGGGCTCTTCGGGGTTTGACGGAGGATTGTGCTTTTCTTCCGTTGCAGGCTTCCTGCTCTAACCTAAAACGCTTTCCCGTGCATTCCAGGTTGAAAAAGTGATGTCCTAGAACAATGACTTCTAACCCTCTGTTTTCATGCATCATCTCTAAAGATCTGGAGCGAACCTATAAATGGCCTACACTTTCACTTTCAACTGCTGTTATCCATTTGTATTCACTAATTTAGAATGAAAGGAGTTAAGTACTGTGGGAAATACTGAGTGGGGTTGCCGGCCGTATGAAATACTTTAATACTCTGCAAGGTAAAACAGTAAGGTACTATTGGAACTAAAATGCTGGTAGATTGCTTGATTTGATTAACACCTGCTGTCTTTAATGAAAATATTTTCACAATTGGAAATTCAGTATGTTTAACCTCTAAAAATGCAAGAAGTCAGAACAAAGGCTACAAACCTCTGTGAAATTTAGTATCTAATGCAGCAATAAATACATTTCTACGTAGATTGCATATTGCTTCAAAATATAGTTATTTGTTAGTGAAACCTCTGTTATATCTGTTGCTCATACGTGCTTTTGTGGAATGGAGTCGGTGAGCCTGAATACTTTTGGGAGCTGCTGCTGCTGTTTTATCTTTGAGCTTTCCCTGAACGAGTCCTGGGTGGGTCGCACCGTACAAATTGCTGAACACTGCAGGACTCCACCTGTTCTTCCTGTTGAAAGGAAGATGAAGAGCGCACACGGGCGAGCGTTGGCATGCCGGTCATAACAGCTCAATAACTGTGTCCTTTCTGGGAGCTCAGATTCCTGTTTCATCATTTTCCATCTGGATAAATGCAGACATGAAAAAAAAGTAATAGCAATTACCTGCCAAAAGGTAGCATTTAGGGTAGCCTGCCAGAAACGTGTTGGGAGGATGCATTCTTGGCTTTTGCGAAAAATGACCTCTGTTTGAGGTCTGAGAGCTACTTAATTTCACAGTTCCAAAGTATCAGCAGTGCCCATGGTATCACTTGGTGATACTTGGAAATGTTCAGGACATGGCTTTTCCTGAAGAAGAGATCCTGGTGCTTCAACCAGTGTTTCACCTCTGCCCTCGAGTGGACTTGCGTAGGTGTGTTTACATTTGAAATTCATTTGCAAGTTCAAGCTGACAACAAATACGAAAATAAATGTTTTCAAAGCAGCATCATTATCATGCAAGTGTGGTTTAAGGTATCTTTTTTCTATGTATGTTTAGGTGCTGATTTTTTAAAAAAAAGTTTACCTGATTTACAAAACAGGGCTTCCTATAGTCTCCTGTGACAAGTAGAAAGGTTCTGCAGCTGTTAGCTTCCCTCCCCTTGTGCTGTTACCCTCCATGCCTGTTTGCAGGATACTCACTTTGCTTTATCAGTGGGATCAGAGCCAGAATCTAGCAACCACAGTGGTGATGTGGAGGATGCCTCGCTTTTCCAGATTTATTTTTTTTTCCCTTTGAGTTAGATGTGGTATAACATACATATCTTCTGTAATAATGAACAGCGTGGCAATGAGCTGATGAACCAAACCATGCAGTAGTGATGCCCTTTATAGCTGCTGAGACTTCTAGAACGGCACGTTGTCATACAGAAGGATAATGTATTAACTACTGATAACTTTTTACAACAGGGTATTCCAAATGCTGCTCATGTAAGTAATGACATGAGTGTTCCAGCCTTGCCTGCTCCAGCAGCAGTCCTGGGAAGTGCGGGAATAGTTCAGGGACCAAGTTCGGGTAATGCAACGTCATCAAGTCACATCAAAAGCTCCAATGCAGCTGTAAAATTGGCAGAAAACAAAGCAAATGTAACAGTGGAAGCCAGCGCAGATAGCTCCAAGAAGGACCAGGCAAGTTCAAAGTTCAGAGTGTATACGTGTATATGTTTTTTAGAATATACATAGCTATAAAATATATAAAATAAAAATCTTGAGATACTAAAAAATAGCAAACTATGACAAATACCCCTTCTATGTAATATACTTAACACCAGCATGTACGTGGTACTTTGATGGTGGCTGTAGGACAGAAACCAGCAAGCTGACTCTCTGTAACGTAGGCGCCTTTAAAGCGGCGCTGATACGCCTGTGACTACAAGTTGCTGTGGGACAACAATTCTGTTCTTGGTAAAACACAGGCTGAGAGCCGAGCTGCGAGCGAGGGGAGTGTGGGTTTCTGCTCTCCCATAGTAGCTTTCATCTGTGAAGTCTGAATTGTGATTGATAGATACGTGTGCAGGCGCTGAAAAGTAACACTCAAGTCTGTTTTTTCATCAGAAACTGTTAATTCAAGAAAAAGCAGCACAAGAGGTCAAACTAGCTATTAAACCTTTCTACCAAAATAAAGACATCACTAAGGAAGAATACAAAGAAATTGTGCGGAAAGCTGTAGATAAGGTAAGTTGATCTGTTCACCTGAAACGCATACATTTCAGCGGAGGTGGGGTGTGGGGTGGAGTTCTTAGTCTTGTGGGAACAACTGGTAGTTGCTGGGGCTGGGAATGGGAAAAGCAGAAATACCTTGGTCTTTCTCCATCCTTAAGAGCTTTTTCAGCTCCTCGGAACAACGCACTGACTGTGTGGGAGTGTTGAATAGGAATCCTGAAGTATTTGGGAAGCGTTGGGAGTTTCCAAAGCTGTTCTGCCTGAGATGGAGAGGCCTGGGGTGTTGGGAAGATGAGTAACTGATGTGAAACAGGGGCACATCAACAGAAATGTTTCAAAAGTTTTTTTTTTTCTTCTTTAAACCTGTTGTAGGTTTGTCATAGCAAGAGCGGAGAAGTTAATTCTGCAAAAGTGGCAAATCTAGTGAAAGCGTATGTAGACAAATACAAACATTCACGGAAGAAGAATCCCGAAGAGGCAGTCTCCTGCGAAAGGAAATAGAACACGTTTTCAGTTTTTAATTTTATTCTACCTGCAAAGTGCAATTTCAACATGAACCGTTCACTGAAAATTGTACAACAGTGATTTGAATCTGGTTTTGATAAAATTATTTTTCAATGTAGTATATAATGTTTTGTTCTAAAGAAATATAGATCTACAGGGCAACTTCTTTATTCCTTTTTAAAAACAGATGTCTAAAAAAAAATAAAGGTGTAAAGAAGAATCATTAGGAATGTACGATTGTGTGGATACTTAGGTGTACAGCATTTTGACTTGAATAACAGAGTGCATTAAATTAGAAACTTCTGTCTGAGTACATTGGTTTTGGAACAGGTATGTACAGTACATGTAATCGGTCAGATTAAGATTTTTCTTTTGATTTCTCCCTAATTACAGCAAAGATAAAATAATGTATTGCCTTGACAAGTACTTCTAGTGTTAACTGGACAGGCTGAATGCAGGGGTCACGGTGTGTATATAAAAAAGCACATGGAGTTGTCTGAACAGAAGAGCTGTTTAGATTTTAAAAAGAAAAATCATAAACAGCAAAATGCAGCGCCCAAACCCATGGGCGCTGCGCACCTGTTGTAACACCAAATAAAAATTATGCTGCTTGGTTTTGTTTGTGACGTTCTTCAGTTTGTTTTAAGACAGTGAGATGAACTTGACTGATTTTTAGGTGCTGAAAGCCCTCACCCACCACCCACTGACAGCCTCCGTTCCTGTTGAACCCTGCCCCTAGCTTCTAGGGTGTTCGTATGCTGGAGCTTGGGTGTTGCGGAACAGAAACTGGTTTCTTCAGGTCAGGTCAAGAAAGCTGGAATTTTTTCCCAGCTGATCAGAGCCGGTGAGTTGTGCCCAGTCCTCACTGTGTAATCCTTCTCTTTGTGCAGTAGGGATGGTAGCACGGACGGTCAGGCTGGAATCGCTGAACCTGCGCAGTTTGAAGTCACGTGCAACGGCTTTTGTACTCCCCCGAGCACTTCTGTGTAGAGAGGTCAGTAGAGGTGCCACAGGGATTTTTAAAGCAGATGTGGAGTCACTGGACATGCTGGGGGATGCAGTTTTACTGAGGTAGCAGCAGGGAGAGTTGCTGAAACACTGAGGTCACTACGTGCTCCTTCCGGAAAGAGCAGCTTGGGATCCTTCCAGCTCTGAGGGGAGAAGGAGCCTTACTCTGAGATTTACTCCAAGGTAGAAATACTTGTCCCCTTACTCTCAGACAGTGCTGTTAAAACTTCTGCGCTCCCCCTCCAGTCCTGCGGTGCGGTAGCAGCCTTTGGCGTTGGCTCTGCCTGGCTGCTGCTCCAGCCCAAGCCTGAATAAACCTTTTGGCCAGAAGCGTCAGTCGAATTTTCGGAGAAATTTTCTCTTAGGAGCCACTAGTTTTAGTTCCCCACTAAAACTTTTCTTGGCAGAAAACAGAGTCTTACCCTGTAACTAACTTCTTTGCAGAAGCCTGGGGATGAAATAAGGGATGTACACCCCTGCACACACACATGATCATATAGGGAGCTATACATGTGTAAAATGTGATGTTTGTCACAACACTTGATCACTTGGTTTTACCTATAACTTTCTGCAGACTTAATGAAGCATTTGACTGTCTATATTTATTTTTGTGTGCCTAAATAAAAATACTATGTAAATTAGAGAAGATATAATGCATTTTTCTACAGTCAAGCCAGGTTTTAGATTTTTCAGAATACTCAGTTTTACACTGTGGTAGCAATTTGTATGGTCTCTGGAACTATTTTAAGCTAAAATTGGTTAGCACTTTTTGAGAAAATGTTGTAGCAAATTGCTATGTCTATCCTGGTTTATCACGCCGTGCGTACTTATTTTTATTACATTTTCCTTCTCTGAATGTTGGGATTTTGTATCTTTTTACTCTATACAGTTGAGCCTTGCTATAAAGCTCCTTTCTGGAGCCAGATCAATGTTTTGTGGGAGTTTTTCCCCCTTTTAGAGGAGAAGTGGAAATTGGGTGGGAAGAAGCAATGGAGGATTCGTACTGGGAAAGAGGGGGGGTCATCAGTTTCTTGGTTTGCAGCTCCTGGCTGGAAGAGCAGCCGTCACCTGCTGCCACGTTGCTGGGGCAGTGACTATAGTGATGCTCCACTGTATTTCAAAACTTAATGAAGAATATCGGCTAGAGTAGCATGTGATCAGTAACTTTATTTTTTATGAAGAAGTACATCAGAACTTAGCAGAAAATATGCAGTTCTTTACAATTTCTATGTTGAATTAAAAAAACGCATTGCCTTAATACGTAGATTCTCCTCCTGGTTTTTCCAAGCAGCAGTAAGGTCTCCGTCGGTGCGACTGCCCGAGAAGGCGTGTGCTTTAACCTGCCTAGTCATGTTTTTGTTCAAATACCAGGAAAACTGTATTTCTATTTATTGAAACGCCTTGTAGTGGAAGTCCCGACGTGCACTAGAGCTGAAGGCCAAGTGTTGGGGCAGCGCAGCCCCCTCAGTGCCTCTGGGCTGCTGGTGGC